TGTCTGAGGACACGCAAATGGGAACATTTCACATCGTGGCTTAATATGCCATTCTGTCAGATCAGGCTATAATTCAAAACCCTGATCCACACCTGATGGACAAACACCTGCATAAATTTCTAGCTCATTGAATTTATTAGAGATGTTCAGAAGCAATGTTGCAGCTGAAAGGCCCAAGATAATATCAAACATAGATCAGTAAGGCTCAGTGTTCAGCAATGTAGCACTTTGTTCTCTGCTTGCCTAAGTCTGACACAGACCACCACTGGTATGGATTCAGGTTCACACTCTCAAGTGGGCATTTGCATAGTCTCCACCTGAAACATTCATTTGACCCAATTCTGTAAAAATCTGATGTTTTAGGAAGACACCTCATGGTACATATTCTCCTCTTCATAATTTTGTACTAGTAAATGAATAAAAGACTAAAGCAGAGACAGAGTATTCACAGAAGTGCAAGTCATAAACATGGCTCTGTGAGAGAGATTATTCTGGATGATGCCTCTGCATCTTGAGCTTTCATTCACCTGAAAATTTACAAAGACCGGGAGAGAAGACGTTTGTTTCCCAACCACTTCCTTTAAAGCAGTACTAGATACATTAGAGGGCGGCAACTCTGGTCACAAGTGCATCATGACCTATAGATGACCTTGAGTGGCTATCATAGGACAGAGAGTAGCTGAATAGGTAATCTCAGTCTAGAAGTGGTTAAGTATACTGTGTGAGTCTCAGAAGCAGAAACGAATTAATGGATAGAAAGATGGTTAGTTTATAGACCTTCCAAAACAGTTCTCACAATTGCTAAAGTGGATTGCCTATTTTTTTGTCAAGTAATGGAATTCCAGATGCATAGATTACCCACCCTGCTCCCTTTCATTGCAGTCTAATACCTTAAAACTAAGTCCAAAATCAGCTTGAAAATGAGGGGAAAAGTTGTTGCAAAACAGGAGTCTGGAGTATTTTACTGTATGGGTACAGGCAAACAAAAATTACTGTCACAAGATACAGAGATTTTGATAAGAGACAGCTGACACAATGCACTAAGATGGTGGGAAATGTAGGACAACAGGAGTTATTAGACTAGAGCCTTCCAACAACTAGAAATAACTGTTTTTAAAAGCTAGAAATACCTTTTTTCTATAGTAATGGTAGTGTGGCCATTATGAGCATGCCGACATAAACACCTTTTAGAAAGGAGAAACCAACATCAAAACATGATTGTAAGTGACGATATAATAAAACCCATTCCTTCCTACACATACATGTGCATTCATGCCTGACTGCTTTTAATTTAAATATAAGGAAAGAATGGCAGTCCTCTCAGAGGCGAGACAGAAAAGGAAGAAGGTCCCTCTGCTTTTCTGATGCCATGTGACTGTTTACAGATTTCATCTTTTCCCTTCCAAACAGAACTCAGAAGTCTCAGAGGCTGAAGACCATCAATGAATAAACTGAGTTGCCCATGCCTGTCAGACTGTCTGTGCTCTGCCTTTCTCATGCTGACCCCATTAGATTTGACTGTTAAAAAGCAGCATTGGGCCATGTCAGCTCTTGGGTGGGAGACTGCCAAGGCACATGTCCATGCTGCTGGCATTTGAAAGATTGATAATGATCCTGTGCAACACTTTTTTTCCTTTGAACCAGGCAGTTCTGCACGGGGGTCAGTTCTGTGGTGCTACATACCTGTCTTGCACCATGAGGTGTAAAGCTAAAATCCTGATTGCCTGTGGCCACTAAAAATCCCAAAGCACTATTTACAAATATGCAAGCAATTACGGCAGACTGGAAGTGGCCAAACTGGTAATTCTCTTCTGCCAACATAAATCCTCCCACTGTAACTGAATGTGGATTTTTTTTTTTTATCTCACAGTATAAACTTTAAAGTCTTGCTGTAAAATGCTCATTAGCCATCAAATATCTTTATGGAGTAGCACTTGCTTTACAATAGAGGGTGAAAGGAAGTTTGTTCTATGGGTTCTGAGCCAGTGAGGATACTTTAGAATAAAAGCTCCAACACATCAGTTTGCTACAGCAGAAAATTAATAGAGATAGATTGGTTTTTAGTGGCATTTGAAACTATCTGCCTCTTCATCTACCAGTAGCTCTTCTTCTCAGACCGCCTGCACTGTTGTACTTTATTCTCCCACATGCTGCTACAAGATGACACATTGGATTTTTAAGCTTTTCCTGTTAATTACAAGATTCGTTCCTCCCAAAAGGCTGGGAAGAAACTGACGTTTTCAGTTTTAAATTTGACTCATGTTGGCATAGCTTTCAGGTGCAGAGGTTCTGTCTCTGCTTTGAACTCAGCTCCCTATGAATTTCTCTGTGTGGGAGTCTGGACTAAGGAAAATTCCATACAGCAGAAACAGAATTGTCTAGATCCCATTACAAAAGCACTCCTAAACAAATTCGTAAAAGATTATATATAATGATATAACAATTCATGGCTTATCACTGCCTGACCTGCTTTACAATTTAAAGGGAAAATATATATATTCCTTGGCACAAGACAGTTGGATAAGAAAAGCTGCATCCCTTTGATCTGCACAACCTGCCACCACCTCAGCCCTTTTTACTTCTTCCTGTAACAAGGAAAGACCAGTCAAATCACGGTTTCATCCCAGAAGCATGAAATACCTTTGCTTACACCCAGCTCGAATCCATGATTTTAAGTTCCTAGTTTGAAGTTGGTTGGTCCTGGTCCCTCACAGTAAGACACTGGATGCTGGGCAGGAAACGAACTCTAAAGCAGAGATTTGACAGAGCATTCTTTGCTGAGCTCAGTGTCATTTTTTTTTAAATAAAGATGGAATTAGGCAGACGCTTCTCTGAGAAACGTCAGCTTCAGAGAAACCCTGGTAAGTGAAGGTCTTACGGAGTTTATCAGTACTTTGTGCTATGTAAAGTGGAAAGTTGTTTATAAGGTTTCCATGCATATGCTTATTTCCACAGTTACACACTAATAAATTTTTCATCAACTTGAGGGAGAGAAATGAGAGGAACATCAAAAGGCTTATGCAGTTGAAGAGCACACCACTGTCATCTACCTGGGTACTTTCATCACATTTTAATATTTTACAGCTTTCCTACAGGTCCCACTGAACTTTATCAAGCCAGGACTCTGATCTATACCCACAACTCCATTTTGCTTTACCGGAGACAGAAAAATGGATTTTTATCATTTGGCTTAGAGAAGTCAGTGCCATTCTTTTGTTTAGTTTGGCTTATGGAAATAATTGCATCTCTTTCAGAAAGAGGATAAAGAGTATTCAGCAACAGGCACTTTCAACTTGTATTGCCTGTTTTTGAGTTACTGTTCTAGGATCCCGATGCAGAAGCAAGCAAATTCAATAGCTTCTCAGTTTCAACAGTCTTTGGATCATGTTTTAAAGAGTTATTCTTTACGCTCCTTCTAACACTGTGTCATATTCAGGCTGCAGAGCCAAAAAAGAAAGACGTTTATGCATTTGGCTTTGAATATAGAATGGGATCTTAATTAGCATTCACTTTCAGCTTAATTCCAGTCACAGAAAGTTTTTATCATTAATAGAGGACCAAAAGGTAAGCCAAGGCATGTAACGTCTCTAAATCTTATCCATACATCTCTCTGATGGAAGAACCGGTGCATACACTGCCATCAGTATGTGCAATTTGTGAAAGTATGCAAAAACAGGTATATCCTAACAAGATGCTGGAAAAATATGTGAACCAGTTATCCATTTATAGAAGTACATGAAAAAATACCAAAGAGTGGCACGGTTATATCCGGGTGCTTCTGCTATAGAAAGCATTTGTATTACCCTTACTTCTCTGAATAAATTCAAATGACAGCCCCATTTCATTTCTTCATTCAGTCTGGAGGCCAGATGGCATTAGAATCATTTACTTCACCTTGTTGTGCTTAATTACTACAATCAACACACTATTTTCCAAATTAATCATAACAAAGTAATTTCATTAGTAACACAGCAGGCTGTTGAATTATTAGCATCATAACAGTTTGCAAACAATTAAACTTTATTTGAACCTTAAAAATTTGCAGAGTAGAACATTATTATAAGATCTAATGGCAGGATCATACAAATCCAGAACAGAGCAAATAATCAAGCAAAACACTGTACAATATATGAGTTACAACCACCTTTTATAAAATTCACTCTCTCACTGCTCACGGAAAGGCAAGTGCAACCTAAGCAAACAAAGAAAATAATATGATTAGCATTTTCTACCTCCGAGTTTTGTTTAAGTTGTATTAACAGAGATTTTCTTATCCAAAAAAGGTTATGTTATTTGCACCGATTTAAAGTAAACCATTCGTTCGAGACGTTATTCCAAGACATTTCCAGTGAGTTTCAGATATCTTTTACGTTTTAAATGTTAAGGCAGTTTGTTTACTTCCCTTCCCCCCTTCCCCACAAGTACCAAGAGGGGGAAGCCCTAAAGCAGAACTACAGACAAAAGCCACTTGATTTCTTTGGTTGCCACCACCCAGGAGAGGCCGCTCTGGGCAGCCCTGCCCCTCATCGCTGGGGTAAGGACTCCCTCTCCTGGAAAAAAGGCAGAAGCGGCGCGGGACAGCACGGAGGGGGAAGGGGACAGGGACGGGATCGGGATCCGCCTCCGCCTCCTCCCGTCCCATGAAAATTTGCTGCCACCCAGCGCCGCAGCCGCGCAGCGCAGGGCCCGGGCCGGGGCCGCCCCCGGCTCGACACCGGCACCCCCGCGCCGGCCCCGCGCTGAAACAAGTCTCGTCCGTAGGCACTCGGTCTCAAGGATATGGGGGGAGGGGGGGACGGGGTTTATTCCAAAAAAAAGTAGGTGGTGATGGTGGAGGGATTCGGAATCACGCAATTAATAAAAAGCCATTTCGGTGGGCAGATTTATGGCGCTGCCATGTTAACAAGGGAGAAGGAGCGTTTCCAGCCCTGCTATTAACGCTTCACATTCTGTACACAATCCACCGGTACGCTTGACAAATTAAAGTAGTAAAAGATCTGAAGACTATAATCTATCATTTTAATGCTTTGCTGATAACGCACAGAATCCATTTCAATGACTATCTCTTTTTAAAAAATTGAAACAAAACTCCGTACCCCGTTTGACGTCTATTAGAATCCAGTGTACCAGCAAGGACCATACATTACCCAACACAAAGCATAACATCTCAGTTTACTGAAAGGATCCGAATTCTGAGTTCAGGCTAACGTTACCTTTTAACCCACACTGTTCCCAGGGTCCGCCTGAAGCGTAAACAGCACAAGCAACTACACAGGGACCTGCACAGGCTCAGCAACTCGCACATTGGCCTGATCAGCCTCCTTGGCAGATTAAGGGTCGCACAAATCAACTGTGTGGAAAGCTTCAAAAAAGTTGATCTTGCATGCTAATGGCAAAGCACGGCTCCAAAACAAGAGTATTTAAAGTATTAACTCTGACTTGCCCAACCCCTTGTCCGTAAGTGGTAGTATTTTAGCGTAGTTTTTTGTTTCAACCGATGTTTTCAGCCACAACATTCTGGATTTGACAGCGAGACCGCAGGTACTAATCCACGTAGCATTGAAGATTTGTTGCGCAACTTGTATCAGAATTCCACGGTATCCAGATTTGACTCTGCAGAAGTATCTGTAAGGTACAGATAAAATATTCCGCTCTACCATGGACAAAAATATGTTTTACCTGCAATTTAGCTCATGTTGACTTAGCAAAAATCACGAGGTTGAATATATTTTCACAAATTTTCATAGAATTCCATCTCCAAGTCAGAAGGGTATCCACACAGGCCAAATTATTACATCAGCAAAAGAATCAAGTCTTCATTGTGTGTCAACAAAATAGTAATTAACAATACAATACTAAATGTATGAGAGAAATAAATCATTGCCTAAAACCTAACATAAAAAACCATTTGGAAACAGAATACCCTGAAGACTTGCAATATTACACATAAATTTCCCTCGATTTTCCGGTGAAACTGCACAAGATATACAGTGAGCATTAAAAGGTTAATGCATGCATGAACTGAGTAATAGTTTACCCTCAAAGTTCAGCTTAATTTTTCTAAATCTGAGGAACACGAAAAATCCCCGAAAGAACACAAACCTACAGCTATACATAAAAACTGCTAGCATGTTAAGGAGCAACAGGCACTATATGGCTGCTTGTGCCCCATATGTTAACTACCATCTATTTCATTTCCTATCATTACAATTCTATAAAAAGTGACTAAGAGGAACATTTCCTTAGAATTATGATCAATTACAGTTTATAATGTTTAATGTACACAAGGCAACGATCTGACTACATTCACTGAAACCACAAAATGTGTACAGCAGAATCTTCCTTCAGAGGCTGGGTCTGTAAACTGCAGCTGCACACCACTCTTTATTTCAAGTGCAGATTTCTCCTGATTAGGGAGAGGGAAGTTGAAAGTTCATCTTTAACCAAAAAACCTCAAACATGCATATCAAACCGAGTCCAAGTATCTATCCCCTTCCACAGTTTTCTGCAAAGTGAGATACACACATATTACTAAAGTAACAAAACTAACTAGAAACAGCACCAATTTTATTTTAAAAAAATCTGCAAAAGGAACATAGTTATTAAATATATCATCCTTTGTACGCTGTGGTTTAATATTTCATATAGAATCCCAGAAAAAAAGTATTTTAATTGAACCGTCAATATATTTTGCCATAATCTTTATGTTAACAGGACTCCTACAAAGGTTCCAGGAAAGACATACTTATGAAACAGAGAACAAGGGAACATAGAAGCCATTACAGAAGATTGGATTAAAATGTACTTACCCAGGCCTCTCAAATATCATACATCTCCATTATGTAGGCTTTAGGCACCAAGCCAACGGTTCCCTTCATTTCTCCTACCCACCAGCCATATTCATCGTACTCCTAATTGAAAACAATATGCAGTATTAACCTTTAGTCTGATATAAATGCAATAGAGTTTTGTATGCAACTCCTTATGGATGCTTTGTCTTATATACAGCTATAACCATTTTAATTCAAAATTAAAACATTATATCTTTTTGTTATAGGCATTCACATGCAGAGTTAGGCAAAGGCAGAAGCTAAATTTTAAAAAGGCCAGGCACACTCAGGAAAATTTCTTAATTATGGCCACACTTCTCCAACATCTACTAAAAATATTCTCTCTTCATCACAAATACAAAAACTTTAACTTTGTAACCAAAATCTAATAGCACAGCATTGACATATAAGAATCAACAGGGATTCTTTCAGTATGACAAGGCTAAACTCAAACTTACAATCAACTTATTTTAAAAACTACTTTGCTCAATGCGAAGGGAACACTACATATCTAATACATAATCTTTCTACGGACAAAGTCTACTATTGCTTTAGGCTTGCAGAAATTCTATGGCAGATCTCATATGCCTGACAGATGACTAATGTACTTTTGTTTGAAATTTGTTTAGGCTTAGTGAGATAAATATGAAACAAAATGAATTATAATAGTTTAAAGAAATAATATCTTCCAAAAGCAATACCAAGTAAGAGTATTGTGGTATCCAAATTTAATTTTTTCCTATGAGATAAATATTTTAAAATCAATCCTAACAGTGGTTCAATAAATTTTAACAGCTGAAATTGCACACACACATATATTGACTTACAAATGAAGTATTATTAAAACAGAGACCCCACTGAAAAAGGAATGATTCGTAAGACAGAAATTACTTTGGAACAAACATGAAAAATACAAAATACACAGATATCTCTGATAAGCAGCGTCTGTTTCCCGCTACACTGTTCTTGTGATGAGAAGATAAAAGGCTGTAGGATTTTGAATTACTGGTCCTACTGAGATAAAGCTATTATTTTGACTGTAGATAAAGTTTTTTGGTTATAAATAGTCAAGTGGAGCTTAAGGGTTAATGGAGTTTCATTAGAGCCTGAGCTATAATGATTTGCTGCTGGCATATTTTGCCTGGTCAAGAGTTCTCTGGGGTCCTATGAGGTGCTTAGTGTACTCAGCTCTCCCTGTGCTTTAACTGAAGCCCTGCTGATGGCCCATCTTCATGTGAGCCCTGGCTTTTTTTTGCCTTTTTTTTTTTTGCCATTTTTTTTAAATGCTTGCATGCAGGCACACGCACGCTAATTGTGGAAGGCTAAACACTAGTCTTAAATTAAACATCTTCCTCCTCTTAACAGTGAATTGGTGATTTAAAAGATTCTATCCTGCTGTCCATAAAATACTGCAGCAAGTGTGATTTAAAGGAAACACACATAAAAAGCAGCAGGAACACCTTCATTTATGATGTGAACATGCAAACGAGAAAGCTGCAAAAATAATTCCACCTTCTTCTCCTTTCCACTGCAGATCAGTGCTGGGGATGGGTCTGGTCTTGAAAGTCTAGAGGTATCTATCTGAATCTAATCTTCAGTGCACACTGCTCTCCACAGAAGTTAAGAACTGCTCCTAACCTTTCCCATGGGGCTTCACATTACACCCCAAATCCTTAAAGGCGAAACAATACCCTGACACTGAGGTTTATAATGTTCCAGATCAGCCTGTTTAAAAATCTATGCTTTATGTCACAATACACTGTTTAAATATACAAACTGGATTTCAAGACTGCAGTGGGAAATTGCTGAAAGGAGCAGCACTCGCGTACACTACTGGAATCTCAGCAATAAATCTCTCCAAGAGAAAGCAACAAAAGATTTTAAGCTGCTACTTGGAATACGCGAAGTGACTGAAAAGAGTGATTAAGCAAGTTTTGCTAGACATCAGCCAAAAAAACAAACAATACATGAAATGAGGGAAGTGGCTCAGTTAAGCAGTCATTAAACTGCATATGACAAATGGCACAGAAAAAGCCTGTGGATTACATTACCCATTGAAAATGTTCCACTTAGCAACACTACATGAACTTAGAAACAATTGTTTTTAAAGAAACAATTCAGATACCTCAAATTAAAATTAAAAGCATGCTGCTGTTCTGAAAACTTTCTGGTTTTTGCTACTTACTAATACACCACTTACTGCTCTAGCATGAAGCTAAGTGAGAAGATGAAATGAATGTTGATGTAACAGACTAGTAAACTAATTTAAGGATTCACTCCAACCATTATACCATACAGACAATACTGCAATACAGAAGCTTTTACTTTACATTACTATTCTTTGCATGGGTCTCAAGAGCAGCATGAATCCCAATTAAACTATCTGCTGTCTATACAAGTCTGAACAAAAATACAATGCAGATACCTGGCTACCAAGAACATAAAACTTTAATCTCAGGTTTTAGAATGATTAGATAGCACTCCCTTTTAAACTGATTAAAGTACAGACATTTCTCTTTAAACTCCTAACCACTCCTTCCTGTCCTCAGTACCACAAGAGTGCTTAACTAGTGAGGCAGATAAGCAGCCCCCTAGTCCTTTCTTCAAGTCACACATAAAAAGCAAATTGATGTATTGTTTCTATCAGTGTTATCAATTATAAACTCCCTCACAGCAATACAATTTAATTAATACACTGCTGTTGTGAGGTCCATATGTCTATCATTGCTGGTTAAGATGTGTAGAATAAAAGTCTACAGTCCACATTTGTGGGAAGTAATGATTAATATGTGGAAGCATTAATATGCAGGAGTTAGAAGTTTTATAAGAATAAAAGTTGGGAAGCACGGTGCTTTTGCAAGCATCAGCTTCAGATCTCAGGTACCACTGGGTTTACCATCTGGTATCCCTCACTGCATTCAGCTCTTAACTGCTAACATAGGCAAGCAACTATACTTCAGAAGGACTGATAAAATAATGAAGAGTCCTTTAATCTACAGGAAACCATTGTAGTCAATTTATAAGAAATATTGCATCCCTTTGTAGGATGTGTAATTATTTTCTATTAATCATGTGCTATAAAGCTACATTATGTGGTTATTCTGTTATCACTGGAAAGAGGCCTGCAGTCAGCTCCTGACAATGTTAGGTAATTACTAACACAAAGCTTCTTTCTCCTTATGTAGAAACGCTATCAAGATCCAGAGGTGCTGTGATGCTCGCTGTATGAAAATAACTCTCCAAAGAAATTCAATAACTGCAAAATGAATTGCTCCAAGGCAAATAGAGGGATAGGAGAGGGGGCAGGGCCAGATCCAGCCACCATGCAATGAGGAGAATGCACAAGTGTGCGGCCACGCTCTGCCATGTGACGGGGAGCACATTTGCCATACCAGGCAATGTTAGCAGGGCTGGGGAGAGGAGGGGGCCACCACAACCCCTGGAAGACAAGCACCAGGGCAATGGAATATATTACGCCCAATAATATGAAACAACAACCTTACCAAATGACCAAATGCTTTCTAAGCTACTTCTGCATTTCCACTGTCTTAGAGTGCCTTATTTTTTTTCCTCGCAGAAATTTATTAACCAAAGTGAAGTAATTTCACAGGGCAGCAAGGAACAGGTTATGACTTAACATGCTGGCAAAACATTCTCTGTACAGCATGCTTTGACAGCAGGGGGAAAATCCCATCAGGGTTTACAGTTTCTTTAAATGCTTTAAACTGAAGACTGTGAGCAGGCACTTCTCCTTGTCCCCATCCCACCAATTTCACTGCACTGATGTGTATGTACCCATGACTCCAGGAGACATTGCTCATAAAAGCTTTTGCACTGGGGAAAACACGGTAGTTAGAAACACACTACCTGTTTTCTATAGATATCTTTTAAATCCAAGATTTTAGTCCTCTATAGAAGACAATTCTGACATGCAAAAAGAGAAAATCTCCAATACAGTCTCTACCTTTAGAACAGATCATCTGCCTAAATTAGGTTCTCCAGATGCTTTGCACCATACTAACTTCTACTGACTTCAGCAAAAGTTGAGAACATCTGGTTCTTGTGCAATTAGTCCCCATTTTTAAATACATATGGTATGTTTTTTCATGTTTGTGGAGTGGGTTTTCTTATTTGTTTTGTTTTTTTAAAAAAAAGTTGCTGAAAACCATCATTGTGTTTCAATGCCTTGAAGAAAACAATGCAGTGGTATTTAAAAAAAAAAACCACGACTGAAGTGGGTGAATTCAACATTTTTCTCCTTCCCTCTTCCAGTGGCACTGTGAGTAATATTCACTTACAGGCTCAATATCTGCAAACCTTAAAACTGAAAAGCAAAACTTATCTATAGCCTTCTTTGGGGTTAAAATAAGTAGCCTTTACTGTCAAGCTAAATATGTGTGGGAAGCAGAGATAAATTTTTTTCAAAGACTATCCTGGGGGGCAATTTTGGCAAGAAAATATTTTAAAACATCTCTAATTCATCCAGGAGATTCATACTAGCTAAAAAGTTTTAGAACTTCCTTTGGTGTAATTGTTGAATGATACACTATCAACCAGGGAGCAGTTTTGGCACAGAACAGCATTTTCTCTAAAAAGCAAAGAATGACAAATGCTTTAGATAAGTGAATGAGACTTCTTCACAGGTAGTAGAGTTGTTTTAAGACAGCAATAAAATGGTCATCTTTAAAAATATAAACCTCAGATTTATTGTATGGTTGCATTATTAGGTTTTATTTCCCACAATAACATGAGATGAAATAGACACCAATTAAAGATTTCCAATATAAATCATGGTAAGCAGACTGAATTCTGAACCAAAAGTGTCCCCAGAAAACACCCTGGAACAATAAAAAGGCCATTTTATTTTCCATTAGATGACACAAGGCCAAATTTTTTTCTAATCAGGTAGGTAAAGGCTTAAATATTATCAGTATGCAATCCAGCAGACCTAGAGCCACTTTGCATTAGTCTTAACTAGCCTTCTATCTAAAGGCCTTCACTTTTATCTTGTGTTTAGACATGTATTTATTCACCTCCCCTCCCATGAGGAATATACCTAAACAAGCCAGAAAAAGGGTAATGTACAACTTTGGTGTAGCATTTTAGTTTTGATCAGAAGCATCCCACTGAAGTGAATCACTCAATGCTCCCATTTTCCCCACATTGGCTAACTTGGCAGAGCACACATACTACATTTATTTAAGATGAAATTAAAATGGAAGATACACCTGAATGTACTTTAACCATTAATTTGTTCTCATTCCACAAAACCATGCTAGACCTCTTCAGACATCAAGCAGCTTTCAAAAAGTATAGTGTGGACACCGGGGCCTCAAGCACTAGTGTTTCACTCTGCAAATCTGCTTCTATTGGTACTCCCCATTTGCTAGGGGAGTCATAGGCAGTATGGTCATGGAAACAGAAATTACTCTTAAACATACTCAGTATGCTCAGCCAGAAAACAGCCTGACTAAAGAAATACTCAGGATTTTAGTATGCCTTTGATATCTTTTTGAGAAAATACTGAATAAATACATTTTATTAAGATTATACAGATAGTGTACAAAATGCTCACAGTGATTCTGAAACAGCTGCATTGTTAAGTTGCACTTTATTTCATAGGCAGTAACCCAAGCTATGAAGATTCTTTGTTTGTCTTTTCAATAAGTAAAAAATACAGGTTGAGATGTGAGCATTTTAACAGACATTTATTGTGTTGAAAGAACAAAAATCTGCCATGCTGGAAACCTACAATCTCTGAATAAAGGGTAATCTAAACACCAAGTTAATGCTCTACTTTCATAAAAAATTCTAGTGCAAAAGGTTAAGTCACAGATGAGATTTCCATGACTCATAAATATCAGACTGAACAGCATTGGCATGTAATGAAATAATAACAGGTAAGGAGAATTCCAGTTTGAGATATACTTTTTGAATTTAAAAATTATTTGCTATTTAAATATAAATATAAATAACATGGATGTTAAATTAGCTTTAAAGTACAGAAATGTCTGTAATTCTACTAAGCAGGTGCCTGCTAACATCTAGGTAAATTTTCATTATTACTTGCTTTTGGCCAATGTAACTATGGAATTTCACAACACAAAACATACACCTAAAGCAAACAAACTATTACTGCTAGTGCTGCACTTGCATAAATTGTGCATACGAAACTTAGGAAAAAAAAATCGAGCTACCTCCATTCACAGTTATCTTTGTTTCTGGAAATTGATTTCTTGAGTAGAGTTATGGAAGATTTATAAAAATGATTTTTGTATCATGGTCTGTTTTCCCATTTATCACATGGGCTTGAAAGCAAAGGCAAGCCCATAACTGAGCAGGAGTTAAGAGCAATCATCCTTTTAGCAAACATGACTCCAAAGTGTTACTTTCTAATAGTCAATATTAACTAAAAAATGTTATTAAAGAGTCCCTTTATCATTAGAACTATAAAATATTTTTTTACTGTATAATAGAATAGGGGTATATAGTTTTCTGAAAGTTCACATCATTCATAGCATAAGTGATAAAAGACACTTGAATATTCAAGAATACTATAAATTAATAATAATAGTATATCTCTACAGATACATTGATCAATTAATCTGAGAAGTTAACTACTTTTTTAAATAAAGAAAAGCTAACCAGTAGTATTGAGATAGTTCTGTTAATTCTGCTCAGATTAAAAACTCAACTTTTGAGGGAAACTCTCAAAGTTAGAAAAACCTAGACCAAAGTTGGGTTTGGTTTTTTTTTTGTTTGTTTTTGTTGGTTTGGGGGGGGGGGTAAAAAAAAAGGTAGTTTTTGAATGCACCTTTAAAACAAGAAAAACATGTTTTTCTACAGTAATTATACCAGTCGGGCACAGGTATCTCTGTTGTCAGAATATGAGCTCATGCTCATTGAACTAACATTGAATTTTGATGCTCAGTTTAAAGCAAATTATGAGGGACTTGTCCTTGCATAATGCCTAGCTATTTTAAGAAGCAAACGCTGCCAAATTGAAACCAGGTTCGTTTTTCTAAAAGGCGTTTACCTAGAAACTTACGGGTAGCATATTGCTCCTCTTCCTTTATTTAAATTCTATAAGCGCCCAAATTTGCTAAACCAATTCATAATTATTTCTGTTGTAATAATGACCTCTCTTCTTGGAAACAAAATAGTCACTTTTCCCCTAATTTCTGTAAAGGTATGTGAAAAGCTAGTAAAAATATATTGCTTTGGCATAACTGTTTCTGGGAGAGATGAATATCTGTCTTACACATTCATCAGAGCAGCCTACACCATTTATATTTCACTGTAAAACAAAGAACTATTACATGTTGCACAAATATGCTCGATATTTTGTTAATGCTTCACCCTTCCTACTATAACACTACTATACCTGTACTTACTTCCTTATCAGCAAAAAGTGATTTTCAAGAGCAATGTTCATACCTGGCTGACATATGATAGAAAGGCAATAAAGCCATAGCTAGGTTCAGCTGAAGCTGAATTTATGACACCATTTTGGATCCATACACATAACCCTCTGTCAGTACCTGCATCTCTCATTTTCAACCACTAGATGGTGTAAAAAATAAAAGAATTGCCTAGGATGCCTGCCGACTGCCACAAAATCCAAGTATTAATGTAGTGGATTAGGAAATATTTTTAAAGAAAAGTGTTGACCCACTTCAGGATGGCTAGGCTCACTTTTTCTTTGGTTATATTTTCACTTACCAAACAAAGCGCTCATAAATGATCAGACCTTGAAACTGAATCAAGTGGAAGGTTAAGATGGATAATTCTCTGGCATTTTGCCCTCCAAGGACCCTAAATTCTCAGCTGACAGTAGCAGCCAACACTCATTTTTTCCAAAAAAGCTGTAACAATCTTTAAGCGAAACAGGGCCAAATTTTCTGGGCTATATTTTGGAGTAGAAATCAATCCCAGAGAGAGAGACTCTATATATCTGGAGCAGCAGCAAGCCTGTTTCAAGGACTGATTATGAATTAATCATGGCACGGCAACAAGTCAGTTGATATACACACGACAGCTTAAGCTACTGTTTTTTTATTCTGCTCCATTTTTTAAATTAAATTTCTCACTTTTTTGGGGAAGGAGCAGCAACCAATTTTTTTCACCTACGAGCTGAAGATTAAGATTTTATAGTCCCCATACTGTACCCAGAGAGCACAACCCACAAAGAGGCCAAACCCATGCAGTGGAATCCATTCACTCATGGGCTTTTTGGGGTGAGGAAGAGAGGGAAGAGGTGGTTTTTTTAAATTAGTACAATTCTTTAGTGTTGCATAACTGCCTGAAAGTTTGCCCAATCCAAGAGCGTTATTCAGCCTTTAGTAATGCAATTCAGTTATTAGCTTAAGTGATGATGAAATACCTCAAAAGACATACACGGTCAAATTACTATTAGTAATATATCTTCTATATTTTTATAGATCCTTCTATCCATAAATCTTAAATTTATTTAAAACAGAAGCTGTCACATTTATTATCCAGAAACATACTTAAAGGTATCACAGAAGACTTAAAGCAATTGTGACAAAACTTAAGAGTTTGAAACTAAGACAAACTAAGTCTTTAGCTTTCATGCACCTACTTGTATATTTAAATGACCTACAATATTTTTGGCACTAATTACCCTGAATGGCAATTAGATCTATATTCTACATATGTTTTGAAGGCAGGTTTTTTTCAGTGAGAACTTTAAAAGCTCAGCTTTTTTTCTAATACGTGGGGAACAGAAATTTCCTTTGATTAATTGTTCAGAAGTAGACTTCAATAGACCACGAGATATATATTTTAGGAGAGGTTTTGGTTTTGTTAGGGAGGTTAAGGAAAAGTAAGAAAATTAACCAACATTAATGTAGAATAAAATTTCATGCTTATACTTCATGCTTACATTTCATCAATTAAGCATAAATTCAGATTAAAGGAATTATATTTCTCATTTGCTTTGCAAACAGGAAAGTTTGCAATTAAAAATTGCCCAAATCTGTCAGAGCAAACAAATTTGGAATCTGAGCTGTCAGAACAATTACAATATACATACAAAGATGAAAGCATAGTTCAAAAAAACACATCTTCTGTAGCAAGATCCCAAAAAAGTCAGAATTAGCACAGTCAGGAATATAAAACAGGAAACAAAAAACATAACATACAAGATAACTTAAAATTCTACAAGGTTAACTTTTGCAAGCAGAAAGCACATTGTCTCCTGTTAAATCAGTTAACAAATGGTAGCCAAGATTTAACAAGTAAATAAACATGCTTTTAAGTTAATTCCTGTTACACAGCTATGTTTTAAATGTGGTTATAGTTCATTTGACAAAATAATTAATTGCAGTGAATATCTGGTTGCAAACAAAGGATCTGAAAGGGAGTGCCAATTTCCCCCCATAGAACTGTGGGAATGTGTCCTTCTGCCATGTCTCTCTTTTTACAACTATGTAGCCCCCAGTAGCACCTCATACCTTGCTGAGAATGTAGATAACGTCACCTCGTTTAAATGTCAACTCATCAGGTACATCTGCTGTGCAGTCCCACAAACCCAGATAGAAATTGGCATAATCGATATTTTCGCTATCTGCAAAGAAAACAGCACCTAATTAGAAAAGGATAAAGACTGAGGGACTAAAGTTACACTTTAAATCTCCAGATGGTACAATGCAATTCATTAACACACACTTCTTATTCCTTTTTTTTCAGAAACATCTCTTTCATACCACAAAAGCAAGTAGAAAACAAGTTTAATGTGCAAGCCCTTCACTGGCAAGTTGCATCACTGAGAGACATGTAGCTACAGGTTTTCAAAGCATTTTCCAGCTGCAACTTAAAGCACCTAGTTTTCCTCCACACGTACATTTCTAGCAAGCCATATATGTATCTCAACTTGAAACTGATGAAATTCTTAGAATATGATTAATAATAATCTGTGAAAGGAAGCCAAAGTAAGTATTTTGTGATACGCTCCCCCTCCTCTCCTGTTCCAACAAAATTAAAGAGCTTCTCTGAGAACTTTTGAGATAATCCTTGATTGTTCCTTCTGAAATATTAGAGAACTTGGAAACTGTTGCTGAAGTTGCATTTCAAAAATATTTGTGTCAGCTCCAGTTTAGGACATTAAGCTCTGGCTAAACATGCAACTACACTACAGTCGTAAACTCATCCTTCTAACAGCATAAGCACAATGGATGTGCTGTGTTCAAGCTGCCATACAGACCATTAACTGATTGATTATTTAGCACTCTTTGCTCTGTAATACGGCAATAACACAGTAATAAATGCTTTGTCATACATTTACAATACAGAGCACATCTATTGAAACACAGCACTCACACACAGTTAAATACACTGGGTGCTTCTGTTACACTGCAAACTATTTCCTGTTTTTAATTCCATGAGAATGGAGTGTGATGAGTTAATGCAAAAAGAATGTAAGCAATACCACTAAGATGACCAGTTACATTATGTATACACTAACCAGACAGAATGTATATGTACTAATAATTTACATCACTGGAAAGCTATCTTCTAATTCTGATAACATAAATATCACTGAACTGGTTGGATCAAGGCTGTCATCTTAGTTTTGTTATATGATCCTTGAACAGCAGGCTTGCTGGTTATTCCAACATATACCAGTTACATTTGCATGTCGTTAGCACTCTACACCATTATTTATAGTTTACAATTTAATCATGATTGGTTCACTTTATTACCAAAAAAATCCTGTTAAAACATCAAGCATCAAGTGATAGAAAGCGTCACGCTATAAAAAAAATAGCAGTATTCAACTTGTGCTCTTTCCTATTTTGGCAAATACTTAGATTTGAACTTTAATACACTCTGTATGAGCAAGAAGAGCTTGTTTTCTATTTTTCCATTTCAGTCTGCATTCTGTGCTATTTTATTTGGATGGCAATACTGTCATAAGGCTAAATATTTACAACCTTGAATTTAAAGCTGCAATGCCAATTACCCACCATTTAATTTTCCATAACTGGTGATTAGGAGCTATGACTTCCTATGTAGCACTAGGGGGTGTTCTGGCTGCCAGTGCCTGAATTCTTCTGTCCTCACCCCAAAAGCAGCAATTAGATACACATATAAAGCTCCCAATCACTCAGAAATATGATTTGGTTATTCTAAAATGCCTAGACATTATCATTTCAAGAGGAAGGCAAAATCACTTTGAAGTGAATCGCTTTGAAGTGTTGCTTCTCCAAATTTTGGCCTTTCCTATTTTTTACTCCACTATTTACCAACACAGGTTACCACAAAATTAATTTGTGATAAATATTAAATCAGAATCTCTCCTTCATGTTTTGATATCGTACTGATCACAGTTCCCAATTCTTATCTTGTAAAAGATAACATAAGCCCATGTGAGTATAAACAAAAAGAGCTATTTCAGTATATCCCACCTTTCAAATCTTTGAGCAGTTAGCTTATTGATTTGGTTTAAAATACATTAATCAGGATTTTTACTTCTTCAGAACTGCACTGAGAGAAATCAAGACTTTTCATGCTGACCTTTACCACTCTGAGCTCTGTTCTTACCTTTGTGTGCCTGAAGTAACTCCTGTTAACACTAATGGGAGTTGCAACAGAAGAGACACTGTAGTGGGGGACACACATCTCTCCCTATATGTTCATCATGAGCATTTAATTGAGTCTTAAAGTGGGAAAGCAAATCAACTAAGAACATGGCAACACTGGAAAAGATGCATTTTAAAATAAGCTTATTGCAACAATGACAATGTTGACCACAGACTAACCAGGACTCTGTGCCCTCATTTGTGAATTCAACATAAACTAAGGTCATTTAAATCAGAAAGCCACATTTTTCAGACAAACATATACCAGTATATCAGGAGCACAGAAACAAAAAACAGGGAAAGAAAGTAAGAGTTTTAAGTTTGTAAACAACTATGCTGGTCTTCCAAGAAGTGTTAATTTCAAATTTAAAAACCCCTCTCACGCCCACCAGTACAAATTTCTCCAAATTCTGTAAGAGCAACTACACACACATAAAAGATAATTGTAAATGTAACTTCAGATTTTATACATCTAAAGTGAATAATGCTTCATAATATGATTCATAGTGCCTCACAAACACAGGGGTAGAATAAAAAAAAACTTGCAAAAACCTCTGCAAAACAGAAGCCAATTCTTTCTTACTTCAGTCCCTCTTTCAGTTTGAGAAGACCCTGACAAATTTCATTTTATTGCCTCTGAAAAATGGTATATAACAAAACCATGGGGCCTGTGTAAAGGAATTTGTTATTTATATGGTAATGAAATAATATGGAGCTTCTTAAATACATGTAATACCTGAAAACAGATGGATTTAGCATCAAGAACTTACGTGCTCATTAGAGTTCAAATTCAAAAGGTATTGATTTTCCGGCATTACTCTGTCACAATCACACTCTAATCTCATATACTATGAAATGTCACGTGCCTTAAAAATACTATGATGACATAATCACTAAACTAAAGTCTGTCATATTTTAAAGTTGTGGTCATTTAGGCCATAAATACGAATAAGACATGATTAAAAAAAAGTTAAGTGTGTGGCAGAGGGCAGAAAGCAGTTTGTATTTACCTACCCATTGCTTTTAAGATTACCAATGACAAGAAATGGGTAAGCAAGATTTTGGATAGTTTTTTTCTTCAGAAAATGCTTCTTTTATTCTAGGACAGCTATCTGGATGAACTACTATCCAAAAAGAATTCCTCATGGTTTTCTTCTGCCATCTCTGTTTTTCCAGTAATAGCAACAATAGATATTTTTGTCCAATATATTGATGAAAACACTTCAGAGTTTGACAGATCAAAAGGCAATGTCTGCCAGTCTCTTTGACAGTAGTCTCAGACTGCTTATTTCACTGAAAAACGCTGGCATCTGTCAACACATCCTTGAAGAAAGAAAGGTGAACAGTTCAGGTAAAAAAAAAAAAATCTGACAAATATATCACTCAAGCATGCACCACAAATACTACTGTTTAAAACTTAAGAATGCCTATGAATTACTCAAGGGAAAAAAATTACAATAACATTCTAAAAACCACAAAAGACATGGGGAAGAAAAAATATGAAAAAATATGAAAATGCACTACCTAAAACATTAGAATAAATGTGATTGTGTCTAATTTCCATTTCAACACTGATGGCATCTAAGCTAGCAAACCCTACTATGGTAGTGATTTAGAGCTAGTAGTTGTATTATTTGCCTATGCATCACTTGTGGAATGAAGGAATACATATGTATGCTTTCCTTTCACAACCATGGTCCACTGCCTAGTATATTAAACAGCTGGCCATTCTGACTCATGTTCTTCAACTCATTAATAAGATTCTTCAAAAGTTAATAGCGTCAGATTTGAAGATTACTTAACAATATTTGAAAAATACAAACTGTATCCCCTTTTATTAATGATGTGCTCAGTATTTACCATACTGAAGGCTTAAAGATGGAGATACAGGTGAAGTTGAAAATTAATGCTACCAGAATGAGTATCTTACATAAGTGACTCTTGGTTTTGAGTCTCAATGCCCAGACAAGCCAAACCCTGTTAAAGAACACTGGTGTTTGTTTGTTCTGACAATGTCCTAAACTGCAAAAAATGCCTTACTTGCCCTTTATCCTACAGGCCAGAAAAGTTAGGAAATAAGGGGAAAATAATTATAGTGTATTTATTTGGACTCAAACTCTAATCTAGCTCAAACTGTTCAGTATTATCTTTCTCTTACTGCTCCTTAGTTACTCTAAAATCAACATATTTACACTGATACAGCACAAAACATGCCACTTATTGAAACAGTGACTGTGGGAAAGATAATGGGTAGATAGTCATAGCAAGAAAGACCAAGCAAGCCATAACTGAAACTCTTCAATGCTTTGGTATTTTAAAATAAATAGGTCACTAGCAATTAATGTAAAGCTATCCAGCAGCAACAGTCTGCATCAAGACCGACAGAATAAGAAGAACTCAAGTCTGCAAGTTAATTGAAGCCGAGATATGTTAGGACAAGAAAAGAGTAGGAAAAAAAAGAAACCTTTTTTTGCACTTATCAGCCTGAGCTCACAGAAAATTTACAGAATATTTTCTGTGAAGTTCAGGTTTAGTAAAGCTAGGCAATAAATTAAATTTAAGAATGTATGCACTGTTTGTGTGGACAATCACGAAATAATCTTGAGTCAAGTCAGATACTTATGATGTGATGGCCATCAGAAATACTCATGTCAACTCAGCCCTAAAGTCAAAAAAATTACCAGTATTAAATACTGAAATATGTAAGATCAGATGAGAAAGTTATTGTTTGGAATGAATCTGATATCTGGGGGGGAACTGCTCTAGTATTTTCAAAGACATTACACAAACACTAGTAGGATTGATGGGGCTGTTCTCATAGCAGTTAAAACTTTTCAAAACTCTACATGCTAAGGTTTTGATTTCTTAAAAATATGACCAATTAGAACTTCGGGAAGATACATTAGTGAAAAAAACCAATGCAGTTGGTAACTTTATAATTGGATTGACCCCATGCTCCATTATGACAACACACTCTTATAATTACAGTAATGTCTAAATGAGTACTAAATATTAAGGCTGTAATGAGTCATGTTGTTTTACACATGTTTTTAGCAGAGCACAATGCTAACAGCATCTGATGACTTGGCTCTTGCTTCCTTTCCAAGAAAAGCAACCCAAAACTCCTCACAGCAACCTGTTCCTGCTTTCCTGTATGGGTCAGGAAATCAGGCCTCTGTTTCCTCTCCACATGTTGCAACAGGAAGAGCACTGCAGAGCTACTTCCTAAAGGAACTCTTCTTGCCCACCCCTTCCTTGACAGCCCTGAAAGAATTATGTGTATTATGTACGATGGGGGAAGGAGAGCCAGATTGCATGTCAGTGCAGGTCACAGTTACAATGCAGCAGATCTCAAAAAGGTGTAAGGTCTGATAAGGAACAGTCTTCACTACTTGCTGTGTCAAATCACCAGTAGTTTATCTAAAGGTCTGCACCCTTGAAACACAAATATATCTTGTTTTTAAGCATAACTGGAAATACCTTTCTGTCAAGAAAAGTTGTCTGGCCATATGACTTTACATGGTGTATGCAGTTATTTTTCCAGTCCCAGAGATAATTAGCACAAGGGCAGTTTGCCAAGCTAAAGCTGAGAGAATATCCTTCACAGCCTTTCTGGGCATTTCTGTCCTTTTCCAATTTTCATGCTGCTGTCACTGGACTCTGGCATTTCTTACCCAATTCATTTGCTTTCTGTGGTAATCATATGCAATGAAGATATGCATGGCCAACATTTAAACAGGTTGCAGATCAATTAGTGGTCTTAAGTTTATCTGATTTTTATCAAAGAAGACAGAGCTTTGGGTCGATTGTCAGAGCCTGTGTCAAGTTGACCTTTTCAGAGACGTCTACATTGCCAGTCCCTTGGGCAACTTGTTGTCCCCTGTTAGTCTCTGAATGGCAGAAGTCTGTTCTGCTCAAGCACAAAGTATACACAGATGTCTATATTACATTCTTATAGGTTTGACAGCAACTGCATGTTGTATCTATAAACTGTCCTTTAGCAGTGACACTTCCTCAATGATGATAAGCTAATTTATGCAACTAAATCTCCTTTGTGCAGAAATGAAAGCTAATTGAGTCATTACAAAGTAATTCAGGAAGGAATACCTTGTATAAATTGGCTTACTTTATAAATCCTTCTCAAGTGGTTTTCATGCATCCTAAGTGGTGCTAAGCAGTTTTGCTGCTATCACATACTCGGGTAAAAAGACAGCTTTACAGAGCTATAAAAACATTATTTTAAAACACCAAATGGAAGAGACAAGAAAATAAAGGTAAAAATAAAGAGCATAAACAAAATAGAGAGGAAAAGTTTTAATTACCTGAATCAGTGCTAACATCCTCCTGGCTCTCTTTTCTTGGCACTTCAGCCTTTGAAGGAACCTGTTCTTCTGCAAAACACATAACTGCAGATGAAACTTCGAAGGGACGCCTCAGCTAACAGGAATTACAGCCCCCATCAGTCCGAAAGCCACACTCTACATTTCCAGATTGTAAACTGTGTTTACTATTTTACATTTATACAGAAGTTGGAACATTGTTATTTCTGTGGTTTCCCCCACCCATCCAAACACTCCAAGAGCTTTCTTTCAAAATCTCAATTACGAACATCTGTTTCCCTTTTCACTCTCCTCTGAGGGCAATCATATAGAGAGCTGCAGTTCTGCTGTTTTTCAGTCATTCTGAGACAATTAGAATGAGGATCATCTTCTGCTACATACACTTCTTGCCAGGATAAAGAAAATGAAACTGAGGATTGAAAAAGTATCCCCAGCCCACGAAAGAACTCCGTTCTTAAGAGCAGTATGCAGAGAAGGCAGAGGACATCTCACCTTCAGCACTGTCTTACATACACACTAACTTGACATCTGCATGATGGGAACACAGCCACTATAGATGCCATGCCTTCACTACTCCTGCCCACTGTGCTTGACCATGGTTTTAAGCAAGTCAAACTGTATCAAACAGCTCAGTGCAAGTTTAGGGGCAAGAAAAGAGAAAGCCTGGCAGCGATTGGCTCTGGAGCATGTTTTCTGGCTAGCAAACTTGGAACACACTGAAATCCCCACAGGCAATTTCGAAAGATGTGCTCCATACTTCCTGTCCAGCACAGACAGGGAATTCTCTCATGCCCAGACTCTCGCTTAAGTAAATCCACACTCCATTCAGTACAGGGACATCAGATCTGCTTCTCACATTTCACAGTCAACAATTCTGTTGATGAGGCAAAAAAGGGAAAAAACTATGAGATTTTTAGCTGTATTCTGTCTTTAGGTTCATAAGGAAGTAGAAACAAATTTATCTTTGCATTTACAGTATATCAAAACTGACAAGGTTGCTGTATGAATGAGGAAATAGTATATTGATAAACCCACTTCTGAAACAAGAATTGGACTTCTAATACATTTAAATTATTTGCCTTTGCTACTCATCACATCTTACACAGATAGTCATGCTTCTTTTTAAGGCACACATTTCAGCAACTAATTTTAATATTTTACTAATGACAGACAACAGACAAATAACTCACAGCTTTTAAAATGTTCCTTATTGTGCAACTTTTATGTAATTGCCCATATACTTTGACAAAGAGTGAATTTTATATGAACAGTTCAAAGGATTTTTAGCCTTGTAAAAATTTAATCTATCCACAAGACTGTTCTTGCAAACATTAAAGCAGATGTTTAAAGCATGAGAGTAGACCCGTTGGAATGAGTATGCATAATTGCTGCTAACCTCTATACACAGTCCTACAAATATTACAGTTACATCAGAAGATTCACTCCACAAAGAGTTTTGAAATTCTACCCTAGTAAGCCAGCAAGAGTTTTTGCTCTCTGACTCGACTAGTTAAAAGTCTGGTCAAGATGATTATAAACTATTATTTAAGCCAATGGGGGAGGGGGGTGGAATCAAAAAAAAAAAACCTAACAATAGAACAGGAGAAATCTGAAGCTGCAGTACTCACAAAACACTCTAAACTATTTACTGCATTCAAATGTATTCCCCTACTTGGCATTAACACTTGTTGCATATTTCCAAGTATGCTCATTTGTTTATTTTAAGAACTCACAAATGGAGCATAAATGGCAAAAATGCATCTCTATGTGCTGTCCAGAGCACTAGGAGGCACTGATATTCTGTGGCTTCCCTACCACGGTTGCACCACTCACAGGGAGTAGTATCCCAGTATCAGCCACATTTTCTAGGATTGCTCCCTTTTCCCAGAACATTTCAGCTTCATCCAACACACACTGTATTATATTATACTTTGATTAAATAAATGTTGATATTATATGTTACTGAATGTTTGGACCTAAATCAGCTCATGTGTTGAATGTACTGTGGATTTTAACTCACTTGTCATGGTCATCAGACCAGCTTAAACTGAGGACTAACTAAGTAGAGAGTATCTCAACTGAAGTAAAACAGCAGCAGAGGTTGGAAGAGACTTTTTCATAAGGTCCAGCTGAATACATGTAGATTGCGCTGTGGTTTCATGGAAAAATTTAGAATATATGCATTCCCCTGAAAGATGTATTTCCTAGAAACAAGAGTTCACCAGATCCACATCTGAAATGTGAAAATATCTGAATCAAAGCTTTTTGAATACCGAAAAGGTCCTAAATTCAAACAAAGACTGTCCATATTCACATACGGGTTTGGACTCCAACCATCCACACTTATTTCACTTTGCTTTATACTACAAAGTTGTCACAGAGAGGACAAACTCTCAGGTGCAATAATGCTGAAAGACGTACTCTTTCAGTTGCTAATGGGCATTCAGTCCATGGTACCAGGCTGAAGTGACTCCATAGGAAGCCTCCTCTGAAACATGCACTGCAAACATCAGGTCCTTGGCACAAACCTGCGCAAATGGTCCACCCTACTTCCTAATACGATCACGGAGCAGTTGTAATAGGCTTGGCTTAGGGTAGTAAAAAAGAACCTGTGGTTCTTTCTAATGTTTTCTGGTATTATGTCCTGAAGCAGTAACTGTGTGCAGGAGGCATCCTTTAAACACAGCAACCTCGATTACCTCAGGAATTACAGCTGCAGTCTGATGCAACACACTAAAGTCTGTGTTGCAACATGGCATAGAGTCAAAAGACGAAAAATTAAATTAAAAAATACAGTAGAAGTCCTTCTGGTTTTTTTAAGATACTATGTATAAGGACCTATGCATCTCTACAAAATAATCTGGTCCAATTTTTAATCCTCTGTATCTCTTCTTCACGCCATCACTACGCTGCAGTGAGAAAATATTCTTTTCCACCTTCTCAATATGTCAAAATGAGACTAATCTACACTAATCAAACCAGTGAAGTCTTCCAGAGCTGTAGATCCAAAGAACTCTTATGATAGAGATTATGTTCCCTACTCTGCTGATACTTTAATAGCAAACAACCTACAAAATTCTTGTGACAATGCAACAAGGAACTAACTATATTTGTTGCAGGTTTTTTCATTTAGTCCATGAAAGTTGTTGAAAATAACTTACTTATTCAATTTCCAGTCAAAAGAAAAAAATCACCCAATCACAGATAATTCTACCATCCACTAAATTTAAAAAGTGAACAATGAATTCTACACTTGGTGAGGCTTTTCATGTTAATCCATTGGTTTTTTTTTTCCTTCCAATTTCTTTTTCTTAAAGGGGGAGGGTAAAAAAAATCAGACTACTTGACTATAAAATGGATAAGAGTTTGGCTTCAATAGTGCATTCCTCCAATGGAATGTGGTATTTCCATGATAAATATGCATAAACTTAGCAGTTTCCTCTACTAACAACCATCTTTTTATATTAGACTCTAATTTAATGCCATTATTATTAGGTATTTTATAGTCTTCTAGTTTGTGACACATTGTCATTGCACAATACTAGTTTATACCTTGGATAATCCCAGTTTGTGGGTTAATATACTCTATTCAACACTTCAAAAACAGTAAACAAAACCAGCTCAGCTATGCAGCAAAATCTACCAAACCACACAGATGGTTATAAGCTTTTCATTGTGTGGTTTCCATAGCAATCATATTGCAAATCTGGAAGCTACTTGCAAATAAGCAGCTTGTATTTACAAGCCTTTGGGCTGCAGCATGGAACACAACAACATGTGCAGTTATTATTCCAATCACATATTGTTAGAAAAATCATTGGAGGATGTTTTGATCAGTTCAGATAAAAACTACTGCAGTGAACTAATTTTTCATCTATTTCATAATGATACGAGCAATCACACACTTGTAATGCACATTCATTATCTTCATTTGAAATCTCACTGTGGTGTCAGAAGGTCATAAGCATACAAACAAGTCTTGTAAGACAGACCCCTCACAAAAACACTTCTATTAGTAAATAATCAATTAAAAAAACCCTTGCAGTGTCTTTACTGTTGTACTTGGCAGGGAAGAGAGATGCATGAAAAAAAACAGGTGTGTACATGAACTCTGCTGACATTCAGTATGACAGGTCTACACTGCTTTGCACATGAAAAGTAAAAGATACAATAGTGTGTTAACACCAAGAGTATTACTCCTACACACTGCTTTTTTGCTACCAAATAATGATTCTGCACAAATGCAAACAAGAACTTTTGAACCCAAATAAGTGCTTACCGTGGAAAAGAGTCAAGACCTTTTCTCTCACAGATTTATAATTTTATGAATTGACCCACCCTCATAACAGATGGGTTATTACTCTAACAAGAAACATAAATCAACCCAGCTATATAATTTTAAAAAAATTAGTAAGCACTGGCTTGTTTACAAACAAGACTATTTGTTTAGAGAAACATTTAATATTTCCAGAGAAGGAGCAATAAACACACAAAATTTAAGAACAAGATTGTTTGTATAATTTGGCCAAACTGACACCTTCTGCTAGCATTAGTAGTGAGAGCTAGTGATCATCTGGGGTCAAAGGAATGAGTAACACCCTGGTTTATGCAGGGCCAGCAAGTTGCCTTAGCTGAGGACAGGGGTCCCCAGCCTTGGGGATGGGGTCCTCTGCAGCTTTCTCACCATATACACACCTGTACATGCCTATACCCTTCACCCAAACTCTTTCAGCATTTTAGCCTAAGCAGTTTGATAGCCCAGAAGTCCTTCATGTATTGCTTTATCCTAGTCTTACTTGCCTTGGTGTGCATTTATAATGGCAGGGATTTTCGTTTCTGGTGTCTTCTTTTAAACTCCAAATCCACCCACTCTGTATGGAAAGAGCTCCAAATTCAGTTAGCAAAACTCTAGCTTTGATAAGCCTACAATATTCCCAGAGATCTGTCCCTTTCCCCCAGCTCCTCTTGGACATGGCAGATTACTGGAAGATTTACACACAGCTTCTTGACATTTCACCCTGCATTCCCATTAGCAGCCTAGTGTACTC